CGGTGCTGACCCAGATCCGGGTCAGTGGCGCCGGCGTGATGTCATTACACCGGATCTGGGTCAGCACCGACACACGCTCGCGTCATGATACTGTCGTGAACGCGCGTCCAAAGTGATAGTTACCTTGCTGTCTATGGGAGTAATTAATGACAGAATTTTCATTTTTGGGTGAACAAACCCTTTAAACCAGTCTTTTCACCTGAAGGAGATGGTTTTGAGGGCTCTCTCGCCGACCGCACGCGCCTGCTCGATCTGCGTGGCCTGCAGATGGAAAGCCATGTACTGCAGCCAGAGGAGGGAGCTGTCTGGAGACGACAGGAGCAGACGCTCAAACGCCGCTGTGCTGTCCGGACGCACGGACGTGTCCATGAGCTCCGCCTCCAGCTTGCTGAGCTGCTGCTCCGCGTTCTGCTGCGCCTGCTTCAGCTCTTTACGGGACTTTTTCATCGGCTGGTGAGAAAGAGGAGCTGTTTACTGTGTGTGTGCAGACTATGCATTGTAAAAAGTGATTGCAAACAAAACGAGGATTTTTTGGAGTACGTTTTATGCTAAGAAAATGCTATTTTAGTCTCTCAAATTCAAAATGTTCTACTTCACATTTAACTGAATGCATTACTTGCCATTTCTTTGTAATTATTTAATGAAACCACAGGTTTTTTTGAAGTTTAATAATCGCTTTAATTATCACACAGGCAGTATTGCGAATATTTTTCCCGTTCCAAAATTTAAGACCTCTTGAAAATCAGAAATGTAGCATTACATCACTTGCTCACCAATGGATTCTACGCAGTGAATGGGTGCCGTCAGAATGAGAGCTGATAAAAACATCACAATAATCCACAATTAATCCTCACAACTCCAGTACATCAATCAAACTCTTATGAAGCGAAAAGCTGTGGTGTTTGTAAGAAACAAACCATCACTTCTGGCCAAAATACGTGTCATCTATCCATACTAAGTTGTGTGGATTATTGTGATGTTTTTAGCAGCTGTTTGGACTCTCATTCTGACGGCACCCATTCACTGCAGAGCATCCATTTTTTTAGCAGCTGTTTGGACTCTCATTCTGACGGCACCCATTCACTGCAGAGGATCCATTGGTGAGAAAATGATGTAATGTTAAATTTCTCTATATCTATTGTGATGAAGCAAACTCATCCATATTTTGCATGATCTTCAGCAAACGTTCGTTTTTGAGTGAACTTAACAGTGAGACAGTGACAGTGAGTGAGACATTTAAGATTTTTATTACCTTAAATTTGATAAAAACAATTTTTAAGACCCTATAAATTCTACACCAAATTGTTTCCGTATGTGCACCTTCCATTGTTATTCTGGAAAATTAAATAAATAGATATTCAACAGTCTACATGGGAGCAACTTAGTTTTGACGCATGTGTGAGCTCACCTTGCTTGTGACTTCCTGCTCATCCTCACTGGAATCATGGGTGTCATCTACTGCGGCAAAAGGTGTTAAAGAGCACAGTGTGGATTCCCACGGGAAGCCAAAAGCCACCTGCAGCCGTTCTGGTTCCTTTGCCTCCTGCTTACCCTAAACAATCAGACGACAACTGTTACACATCAGAGAAGCAGCTGTACACCCATATTAAAATATAAAATCAATCGAATTGATCTGAAAAGAGAAGATGCGTCACCTTTACTTGGTCTTGATTTTTACGCAACGGCATTACTTCCTCCTCTCTGAAGAACACTTCTACACCACTGTCATTATCCTCTGTTTTAGTTTTCTTTTTAATCGTTTTCTTCTTTTCTGTGGATTTGCCCTTTACTGGGCCTTCTTTTTTCTTTTTAATCATCTGTCCATTTTTCTTATCGTCTTGTTGCTAGAAGGATTAAACACAAGGTCAAATCCATCCTCTTCGAAACTATCAGTTAAACACAAACACACACTTACCTGGCTCTCAGAATTAACCCGCTTCCTCTTGGTGGCTTTCTTGTCACGTTCTTGCTTCTGCTCTTCTGTCAAACGCAATGGAAGCTCAAGGGATTCTGGGAGCAGATCTGGTTTGCCAGTGTCCTTTGACAGCAGTGACAGGTTCACATGCTCTTTCTTGGTGTTCACACTGATTTAGAAGCAACTGTCTTTAGTCATATAGCACTACAAATAGATACATTTAAATGTATTATTAATAGCTGGTCATTTTACACATGTAGACATACATTACCTGAGAACCTTGGCTGTCAGCAATGCATTCATGGAAATGTGTTCGGAAAACGTTTTTTGGTTGTTCACAAAGTATTTTGTAGCATTCTGGAAAAGAACTCTTCCTGAGATGGTCCTTGATAACCTTCATACAAGAAAAATCATTTTAATTCAACTCATGAGGCTAAAATGGTTTCTTTAAAAATGTGCAGCAAAATCAACATACTTTACCTCACAAATATGCCTAGATCAGTAACTGACATCAAATATCCCCTGATAATCTGGCCCTCTTTTATATCGGAAATTGACTGAATGTCTGGATCTTCTTGAAGATTCTTATTGTGGTCCTTATACAATCTGCAGAAAGTGGAGACATTTGAGTTTAAAATAAATAAAATGGAAAATTTAAATTACTTGCAAAAATGAAAAATTTAATACAAAACTAAAAAATAATTATAAAAAAAATTAAAGGAAAAAAAAAAGAAATAGAAAAAGGCTGAATACAATGAGACAAAGCTAAATTTTAAATAATCGTCATACTCAAATCTAACACAAAGCTTAAGATTTATTTGTAATGCTTCCAAGATGAATACAAATGGAAATGGCCTGTCAGATGTCCACATGAGAGCAGGCCTGTTTTATGAACTATTTAATAGTTTCAAATGACTTGTCAGACAGTGGCCAAAATATACAAGCCAACAGAAAAAAATCATGGTCATCATCTGCACAATTACGCACATGCAGGCCAGATGTCCTCAATATTCTGAGAAGAAAGCAACAGATGATATGGGTCAAAGACCTACACAGACCTGAGACCTCCCATTTATTACTTCAGGCAACGCATCACACTGCTGCTGGTTTCTCAGGATAGAAAGAGCACAAACCACAGCAGTGTTCATTTCAAATGTTTTTTTTTAATATAACATTCAAAATAGTAAATATAGTTTAAAAACCATGTTTTGCCTCACACTTTTGTTAAAAAATATCTAAATGTCCCAATTTATTGTCAAAAGCCTAATTTCAATGTCCCATGAAAGAAGACAAAAAGTAAAAAACAAAATAATAATAAAATAAATAAATAAATAAAAATAATAATATAATATAAAATAAGGTAACATTTTGAGATTTTTTGGAGTCAAGCGCATCATCCTCTGGCTGTTTGTGTATATTGTTAAAAGAAAAGTTTAATAAAATGCAAACTTACATTTAGATTAGATACCAAAC